TTAATGTGTTTCTGACGATAATGAAATAAATGAGAATAATAGATTATAAAATAACCAAAATAGATTTCATTTGAATTAATATACTTTTTTTAACCCTCACCCAAGGATATTTTTCCATTGATTTTTAGAGAGAGTGAAAGAGAGAGGGAAAGATAGAGAGAAACATTGATGTGAGAGAAACACATAGATTGGCTGCCTCTTGTGGAATCGAACTGGAGACCCTTTGATCCACAGGCTGACGCTCTATCCACTGAGCCAAACTGACCAGGGCTAAATTAATATACTTTTGAAATGACTTTTTAACTTAAACTCCTTGGTTCATAAACATGCAGTAGGGGGTGTGTTTATAGAGATGTGTGTGTGCATACTCACATGTACACCTTATTAAGACTGAGTTCTGAATGAAGAAATACACAAATTGACTTTTTTTCTAATGGAAACTTGAGATAAAGTATGAATTTTGAATCTACAGATGGCATGCTTTCAAATATCATAATATGGAGACTCTTCTTTCCTTTCCCTTATACAAAAATAGCACCAGCTAAATTTCGAGTTCATTAGAAAAAGCATGGATTAGACGTAGAAGTTAGTTTCTACCTTGGGCTCCTCAGAGGGTGTGGTGAGTTATTCTCCATGTATTTGGAACAACCTCTAAAAAAAAAAAACCATTGGGGGCCCGTTCAGCAACGGGAAAGATAGTTTCTGAGGCACACAAATCTGCCGAAAGTGCTCTTTTTGGTTATCAAGCACATTTCAATGCCCAGGTTGTGCCTGGCATTCTGATAGGCATGGCAAAGTATCAAATAGAATGGCAGGGTCTTTGATCTGGCATTTTAGCCAAATGAAAATATGTAAAGGAAGAGGGAAAAAATGTGACAGCTGGAAAAGGCATAGAGAGTTAGGGTTTAAATAGTTTCAGTCATCTTCTGATGAAGAAAAGAGGACACTATGGTAACTGGACATTTGTAAGGGATGGTGCTAGGCTACCTAGCAATGTCTTGTTAACCCCTTAGGTGTAGGTAAGTTTCTAGAATGGTAGGTTTGGAATGGATTTTTTAAGGAAGGAGAGTGGGGCTCTGAGAGGGAAGTTCTTTCTGAAGGTCACATAAGTCTTAAATCTTGTAAGTAGTAAATATTAGAACCTCGCTGGTATATATAAGAGGCAGAAGAACATAGTAGTGAAAAAGCATGGGACTGGAGAAAGATCACATGGGCATAAACCCAGTTTCTGCTTCTTAGTAACTGTGTAACCTTGGGAAAGTCACTTAACCTCTCTTTGCCTCAGATTCCTCATCTAAAAAATGAAATGCTGACTATATTAAATAATGTACTGTATGAAAGAAGAGTATGTAAGTGCCTGGGACATGATAAACACAGTTATAATAAATAATAAATCATAGCTATTATGAATGCCACCAGGACAGAAAACTATTCATGTGATAACCAAGTATAATGTATCCTTTTATAGTTGTTTGACCAATTCAGAAAAGATAAATGAGAACCAAGTCCTCCACAGGAAAAAAAGAGTACAGTCAATCGAAGATGCTACCTTCTGGGAACATTCATACATAGCATAACATTTTTAGAGCCTTAAATATTACCAGTTGAATTTATTTAAGTAGCGATCTATTCAGACTTCTGAAATAAAGGATTTTCCTTTACTGAAAAAATATCTATTTTATCTTAAGCATGAAACCCAGTGACCCTGGCTTGGTAATCTCTCCAGAAGCTTCCACTATATCTTTATGCTGAGCACAGTATAAAGATATAGATTGAAGCACATTTATTTCAGATAGTATAGATTGGAGGCACAGCTCTGTGTGCAAGTGGGCCATGAAAAATGCAACCTCAACTCTCCCCTTGAACCCACAGTAATTTATCTCAAAAATATTGTTGAGCCCCCTGAACTGTGAAGTAAGTAACTTACTCCCAGTATCTTTAAATCTTCTGCAGGGGACAAGCCAGTACTATGCCTTGTGCTCTAAGCGTTTTTGCAACATGGCTTAGAACTGTGAACATCACCCAGAATGCTTTAAAGGGTGATTCTCTGAAGGACAATGTGCCCAGGCTAAGTTCTCTCAGGGAGCAAAATACTTTGTAAATGAGAGAGGAAATGAAAAGTCAGCTGCAATGCCTCATTGGGTCCCGATGTTCCCAAACAAAAGGGGAAACCACTTACTCACTCACTGCAATCATATTTTGAGTACTTTATTCATTTATTCTCTCTATATATTTACTGAGCACCTACTCTGTGTCAGGCACTGTTCTAGGCACCAAGAATAGGAAATGAACACAATGAAGTTGATCTGTTCATGAAGCTGACCCTCTTTGTACCACCCACTGTATTGAGGATGCACAGATGGATGAGCCCCAGCTCTTTGCAAGGTGTTCAGAGAAAAGAGGGAGAGAGGGAAATGGTAGTAACATGTGGTGTGGTAGGGGCTTTGGAGCTACTCATGACCTCCAAAGATCATTGAGGGTTTCCTAAAGAAGATGATCTCCAGGATGACTCCTGAAGGGAGGAGAGGAGTTAACCAGTAGTCACTGTAGGCAGATAGAGCATCTTGGCCAAAAAGAAACTGCAGTGGCTTAGTGTGCTGCATGATCGGATGGTGACAGATAGGGGCCAGATGATGAAGGGTCTTAGAAACCATGTTACATAGCTTTATCCTAGGATAATTGGTAGCTATTGATCGATGTCAATCAAGGAGTGACATGAGCAGATTTCAACTGTAATATAGAGAATAGACGAGGAAAAAGCAAGGCTGGCATCAAGGGTACCACAGTGGGAATATTGCAGTACTAAACAGGTGAGGAGCAATGTGGTCAAACAAAGGCAGTGAAAATGGATGGGGAAAATTGGTCAGGTCTGAGAAATATTATGGAAGTGATTGTCTGGAAGTGGGTGGTAAGGGAGAGGGTGGAATAATAGCTGACTCGCAGGTGTCTAGCGTGGGAAGCTATACAGAGGATGATGTCAGTCACTGAGAGATGGACGGAGGTGGAAGAACAAATTAAGAATGAGAAACTATGATTAGTTCAGTTTTGAACATATTGAGTTTGGGGCATCTAAGTGGAGGTGTTCAGTAGGCGGTTGAATAGCCTGAGGATCAGGAGATAGCGATGGACTGAAGTGATCCAGGTAAAATGATCAAACCCTGGGCAAGAGCCTGGAAAACACCACATTGATTTGAAGAGGGGAGCCCAGAGATGACTAAGCAGGAAAGGACAGAAGGCTAAGAGAAAAATCAGGGTCTGTGGAGTCACAGAAAAGAGGGGGAGGGAGGGAGAGTTTCAAGAAGAATGAAGTCATCAGCATCAAATACTGATAGAGGTCACTCGTCAGAGGCACTGAAACTTGTCTATTGGATATGGCAACAGAAAGGTTATTCTCTAGTAGGGTGACCATCTGTTTGGTTTGCTTGGAGCTGTCCCGGTTTATGCCTATTGTTCCAGTGTTATTATCATTAGTGCCCCCTAGCATCTAAATTTGAATAATAAATTACATGATCATCCTGGCTATTGGTTAGTAATAGCAGTCAAAGATAGACTGCAGTGAGTGTAGAGATGAATTGGAAGAGGGGAACATCAAACCAGGGAACTTTCTGAAGGGGTGCGGTGGGGCTATTAGAGAGGGAATTTTAATCTCAGGTGGTCATTGAACTAGATGGACTTTGAGTTTCTTCCAGTCCTGGGAATAGTTCATTGCATTACTTTCTGTTACTATTTTCTTTGCTTCCCTTAAAATCAGTGAGGATCAAGAATCTGTTCTATTTCTTATCTCCACACTTTACAAAGCTAAATGCTGTTTTGCAAAGGCAGTATAAAGCAGAAATGTGTAAGTTGATTATTTCCCTTAAGAAAGTACTGCTAGTCCTAAATTAAGCACAAGAATCATTTTGGCTTTTAAATTACTTCATATGGTAAAGCATTAGCAATAATAATTAGGTTGGGAGTAAGTATTCTGCTCCTTTTTGCAGGTATTGTTGTCTTAGGAATGCCAAGGGGAAAATACAAGCCTCCAAGTTCATTTATGTCTTCTGATTTTCGGAGCTTCCAGGTTAGACCAAACAGATGTCTGAGTTTAAACATTTATACTTAAAATGAGAAAGATACGGGTGCCTCTCTGTATACCTTTTAGGTGGAGAAATCATAAAGAATGTATCTGAGGTGATTAAAATAATAATTGTTATGACTGAAGTCATATCTCAGAGCAACAAACAATGTATATAAAATGGAATGATTTTGGAGCCCATATAGATATTGTATTAGGTAGGGAGGCAACACAGAGTTTTGAGTCCCTTTGCCTTCCCTGCAGAAGTTTGACAAAGACAAATAATAACATCCCTTGTAAATGTCCACATGCAAGCATCCTTCCCCAGTGCTGCTGCATTTGATTATTGAAGGTCAAGCTTTCAGTTATAAGCCTTCCCCTCCTCCCCATCCCCACTGTTGTTAGTTCACTTTTTAGTAATTAGGTACCTTTGGAATTGGGATGGGGTGACTTAACAGTCCCTTGTTATTGTTAAGATAGAAATGGCTGCCTTTAAGAAAGGTAGGGGAGGGGGTTTCTTTGAAAGATACATCTATTTGAGGAAAGAGGCTAATGGGAAGCAGTAAATTGTACAGCAGCCATAATTCCTCTGCCATAGCTGGGCCTGTGAATAGCCCCATAAAGCATGCTGTAGCAGAAAAGCATCTTTCCTCTTACTCTCTCTCAGGGCAATTAATAAAAGTGCAATCTGTTACTAATCCGACTGCATACTATTATGTTAACTAGTCAGTGTAACTAAAAAAAATTCCCGAACATATTTCAAACACTTGCATATTATGCGTTCAGTCTGTCCATAAAATTATGCCAAATAGACCTTTGTGAAGGCAATTTACCCTTTGTTCATTGGATACCTAATCTAATCAGACCGGAAGCAGAATGCACTGCTTTTCTATCTCAGATCCATTCACTTGCCCATTGTCTCTGTTTTGTTTCTCTTGTTTTGCAGTGGCAATGGCCTCGCTTCTGCTTCCCTTTTGGAGCGCTGCCACCACATAGGACCTGGATGTCCTGCTGTTTCCCAGGCACAGAACGAAGACCCTTGCTCTGTCTGTTTCGGTGGCAGCCTGGTCGTAAAACAACTGTGGAGCGGGCCAGGGTTCCAGCAGACCATCACGTGAATGGGACCAGTTTCTCTTCTTCCCAAGTATCAGCAATTAAACCCTTGGAAAGGAGATTTGGCCAAGATGACCCATTTACAGGCTGGACTCAGTCCAGAGACTATAGAGAAAGCTCGCCTGGAACTGAATGAAAACCCAGATATTTTACACCAGGATATTCAGCAAGTCAGGGACATGATCATCACCAGGCCTGACATTGGATTTTTACGTACAGATGATGCCTTCATCCTGAGATTTCTCCGAGCCAGGAAGTTTCACCAAGCAGATGCCTTTAGACTCCTGGCCCAGTACTTCCAGTACCGCCAGCTAAACCTGGACATGTTCAAAAACTTCAAGGCCGATGACCCTGGCATTAAGAGGGCGCTCATCGACGGGTTCCCTGGAGTGCTGGAAAACCGCGACCATTACGGCAGGAAGATTCTCCTGCTATTTGCAGCCAATTGGGACCAGAGTAGGTAAATGTAGATAGCGTCTTTACTTGGTTTTTCTTGCTCTTAAGCATAGCCATTGCATGTTGGGGCTTTATGGCTTCATGGATAGTAGGCTTTCATTAAAATATAAATATATTCCAGCCCAGCAGGCACGGCTCAGTGGTTGAGTGTCAACCTATGAACCAGGAGGTCACAGTTCAATTCGGGGCACATGCCTGGTTTGCGGGCTTGATCCCCATTATGGGGCGTGCAGGAGGCAGCCGATCAGTGATTCTCTCTCACCATTGATGTTTCTAACTCTCTCTCCCTCTCCCTTCTCTCTGAAGTAAATTATATATATAATAGAGGCCTGGTGCATGACTTTTGTGCACTGGGTGGGGGCGGGGGGGGGTTATCTCTCAGCCCATCCTGAGCCCTCTTGGAGTCTGGGACTCCTTAGCACTGCTATGGAGGCAGGAGAGGCTCCCGCCACTGCTGCTGTACTCACCAGATGTGAGCCCGGCTTCTGGCTGAGCGGCACTCCCCCTGTGGGAGCACACTGACCACCAGGGGGCAGCTCCTGTGTCAAGCATCTGCCCCCTGGTGGTCAGTGTGCATCATAGCGACCGGTCATTCTACCATTCAGTTGATTTGCATATTAGCCTTTTATTATATAGGACTAGGGGACCGAGGCACAAAATTTGTGCATCGGGGGAGGTGTCTCTCAGCTCTGCCTGTGCCCTCTCTTGCAATCCGAGACCCCTCGCTCCTAACTGCCCGCCTGCTCACTCCTTACCACTTGGCTTGCCGCTCCTTAGCACTGCTGTGGAGGCAGGAATGGCTCCCGCCACCGCCGCTGCGCTCACCAGCCATGAGCCTGGTTTCTGGCTGAGTGGCGCTCGCACTGTGGGAACGCACTGACCACCGGGGGTAGCTCTTGCGTTGAACGGCTGCCCCCTGGTGGTCAGTGCACGTCATAGCAACCAGTCGTTCTGGTCGTTCAGTCATTCTGCCATAATGGTTGCTGGGTTTTTTATTATATAGATATTAGAGGCCCGGTGCATGAAATTTGTGCAGGGATAGGGTTCTTAGGCCTAGCCAGTGATCAGGGCAGATCAGGGCCTTCTGGCTGCCAGCCAGAGCCTTCCTTTGTTCTGCGATGCCCCCTGGTGGTCAGCGCACATCAAAGCGAGTGATCAAACTCCCAGTCTCTTGATCAAACTCTTGAGGGGACACTTTGCATATTAGCCTTTTATATATATAGACTAGAGGCCCGGTGCACAAAAATTTGTGCACTCGGGGGGGAGGGGGGGTCCCTCAGCCCGGCCTGTGCCCTCTCGCAGTGTGGGACCCCTCGGGAGATAACGACCTGCTGGCTTAGGCCTGCTCCCGGGTGGCAGAGAGCAGGCCCAATCCCTAGGTGCAGCCCCTGGTCGGGCTCAGAGCAGGGCCGATTGGGGAGTTGGGGCACCGCCCCATCATGCACAGAGCAGCGAGATTGGGAGGTTGTGATGCCACCCTCAGTCACGATCAGGATAGGGCCGATTGGGGGGTTGAGGCACCGTCCCCTGTCACACTCAAGGCAGGGTCGATGGGGAGGTTGCGGCGCCACCCCCTGTCATGCACAGAGCAGGGCCAATCAGGGGGATGGGGCACTGCCCCCTTTCACTCACAGAGCAGGGCCCATCAGGGGGATTGGGGCTCTGTACCCTGTCACACACAGAGCATGGCCAATCGGGGTTGGGGCGCTGCCCCCTGTCACACATAGAGTAGGGGCGATAGGGGAGTTGGGGCACCGCCCCCATCACACACAGAGCAGGGCCCATCAGGGGGTTGGGTACCGCCCTCTATCACCCACAGAGCAGGGCCCATCAGGGGGTTGGGGCGCCGCCACTCTCACACTCAGGGCAGGGCCGATGGGGAGGTAATGGCTCTACCCCGTCACACACAGAGCAGGGCCCATGGGGGGGGAGGATGGGGAGCTCCCCCCTATTAGGCACAGAGCAGGGCTGATCAGGGGGTTGGGGCGCCTTCCCCTGTCACAAACAGAGCAGGATGGATAGGGAGGTTGTGGCCCCATCCCCTGTCACACACAGAGCCGCAGGGCGATCAGGGGGTTTGGGCGCTGCCCCCTGTCACGCTGATCCCGGTGCTGGGAGGCATATTACCCTTTTACTATATAGAATAGAGGCCTGGTGCATGGGTGGGGCCGGCTGGTTTGCCCTGAAGGGTGTCCTGGATCAGGGTGGGGGTCCCCACTGGGGTGCCTGGCCAGCCTGGGTGAGGGGATGATGGCTGTTTGCAGCTGGTCACACACCATTCAGGGTAGGGGTCCCCACTGGGGTGCCTGGCCAGTCTGGGTGAGGGGCTGAGGGCTGTTTTCAGGCTGAGGTGACTGAAGTTCCCAACCGCTCCTTTTTTTCTTTTTTTTTTTATTCTGGGCCAGCTTTAGCTTGAGGCTTGGCTCCAGCTCTTAGGCTTCCTGCGGCTGAAAGTAGGTTTCTGGCCTTTGCATACAATGTTGCGAATCTGCTGGCTGAAGTCCCGCGGTATCTGTTACAATGTTTGAAACTGCCCGCTCAGAGGCCTGCAGCCGCAGGCGGGGAACATTGGTTTCCTCCGTCACTGAGGCAACCAAGCCTCATGTTAGTTTCACGCTGCCTGGCTGCTGGCCGCCATCTTGGCTGACAGTTAATTTGCATATCTCGCTGATTAGCCAATGAAAAGGGTAGCGGTCGTACGCCAATTACCATGTTTCTCTTTTATTAGTGTAGATATTTCACAAACCCACAAAGGAAGTTTTTAGGCCACAAGTTTACTGTCATCAAAAGGTAGTTCTAGATTCATGGCTGTTTTGGGAGCAACAGAATCATGTGTTAGAATTGTGAGACACCTTAGAAGTCACTAGTTTCTTCATTAAAGTGAGTCATACATTTTAACAAAATTAAAAGCTGGTCTTCCAGCAGAACCATATATTCTGTCTTTAGTGTTCTCCTCTTTAACCAGCATAATAAAAATGGATTCGTGAGATAGCTTTAAATCAAGTGTTTTCAACACATAAAATAATTTCTGGGATCCCCTCCGTAAGTTTAAAAATCCCATAAGGAACCACCAACTCAACATGTCCCCAACTGAATGTGTCCTCTTCCCTGCGCTACCTGCTCTTCCATCCATCAAGTCTCTGGAGCCAGGAATCTAGGTATCATCCTGGGCTGCTCCCTGCCTTTGCTTCTCACATCCAATTATTTGCCAAATCCTATCCTTTTCTTAGGAGCCTCTCAGATCTCTTCCTTTTGCTCCCACTGCTGTGGCCTTAGTTTAGGTTCGTGTCATTTCTCACTTGCATTCCGGGGACGGCTTCCTAACTGGCACTCCTGCCTCTGGTCTAGTGTCGTCTGAATCATTCTTGTCTACATTGTAGACAGAGTGACCCTTACAAAATTCTGTCACATCCTTCTCCTGATTAAAAGTCTGCAAAGTAAAGGAAGGCCTGTTATGACCCCCCTTATCAATCTCCACTTCACCCTCTGCGCGTCTTCTGTCCCCTGGTCCAGCTGGTTGGAAGTATAAGCCTTTCTTTGAATAGCAGAGGTTTTTACATGCCTCTAAGCTTTTGAATTTGTCCCATCAGACACCTAAAGGAGAGGCCAATCACTTCTTGTCCCTATTCAAACCACCCTGGACACAATCTGATTCAGATCCCTCTTTATGTTTCTTCTGGAAGGCAGTCAAAAATATATATAGGGTCCTTAGGCCTAGCCAGTGATGAGGGCTGATTGGGGCCTTCCGGCTGCCAGCCGGGGCCTTCTTTTGTTCTGCGATGCCCCCTCATGGTCAGTGCATGTCATAGTGAGTGATCAAACTCCCAGTCTCCTGATCAAATACTTGAGGGGACACTTTGCATATTAGCCTTTTATATATATGTAGATATTTCACAAACCCACAAAGGAAGTTTTTAGGCCATGAGTTTATATATGTTGGTTTCAGAGAGGAAGGGAGAGGTAGAGAGAGACAGAAACATCAATGATGAAAGAGAATCATTGATCAGCTACCTCCTGCACGCCCCACACTGGGGATTGAGCCTGCAACCCGGGCATGTGCTCTTGACCAGAATAGAACCTGAGACCCTTCAGTCTGCAGGCCGATGCTCTATCCACTGAGCCAAACCAGCTAGGGTAGGAAGGCAGTCTTTATCTCCTCAGACCCCAACCATCTTTAGTTAGGCGCCCTTCCTCTGTTCATGTAGACATTAAAGCATTTACAATAGATGTGTAAGAACCACTGTTACCATAGCTAATATTTTGCCTACTCACCACATACTCTACAAAGCCTCTATATGTATTGTTTAACCCACCAAGAACTTTCCATGTCAGGAAATATTATTATCCCTATTTTACATTTGATGACACAAAGCTGTCACACAACTAGTAAAATATGGAGAGGAAGTTGAACCCTGGTAGTCTGACTTGAGAGCGAGTTGTCTTAACCCAGCTTTATTGTAATTGTGGGTTTACTTGTGAGCTCTTTTTCACCCCCTCCTTCCAAGACTGCAGGTTCCTTGAGGGAAGGAGACTGTGTCTTTTTCAGGTTTCCCTCTTGGCACAGGGCACAGTAGCCTATATATGGTGAATGAGGAAAAATGCATGAATCAGTCTCCAAAACTTCACCTGTGGGCTGAGATTGCACAGCAGTGTCATCATTGGAATTTTTCTGTTATGTGGGGAGACACAGGTTTAAAAATAATAATAAAAATAACTTTAAAAACGGACTAAAGAACCCCTTCCCCAATATAATTAAAAGGTATTTCTAGGGTGCCCTTTCACTGTCTCCTATCACTACCCGCCTCTTAAAATATGTTGATAGTACAGGACACCTTAGCAGCCACTGGCTATTTTCTGGTTAATTAATTGTGATAGGACACTCTCACCCTGAAAGGGGTTTTGAATATTTTCACACTATGAGTCTAGAGTTTGGTTAGGTCTGCATTTGAGCTTGGCCTGTCTTTCTGTGTTTCTGCTCTGTTATTCCATAAGTGTTCACGATGA